TCTCCGCCTCAAGCTTCTCTCCCGAAACATTTTAATGCCACAATTATCAAATTTAATGACTTTTAATGATTTTTAACGACCCGCGGAAACCATGTAATTCATCTGCTACAGGAAGAAGAGGATGCATCGACTGAGTGCTAGCAAGCATTTGATAAAATCAAACAACAGGTGATGGCTGGAGCGGTTTACACAGGTTTAAATGGCGATATATACAAACACAACAGGAGAGAACCCTTAATGATGCAGTATTCGCCATACAGAATCATTTCCCTGCTCTCCGCCATGTTGAAAGGTCAAAGTTTACCTTAACTTGATAAATAAGGTTCATACAATTTCTCCAGTGTTCCAGTAGAAATTACAACATGCGGGGGTGTTTATGTGCAATTTTGACGTCAGTTTTTGGTATTTATGATAATTACGATACCACATAGAGGCAGCATAAGTTAAGCAAATTCCATTTTCGTAATAAATGGGCAAGATTTAATTTGAAATATTTGTTTTAAATTTTTATAGCCTCATAAAAATATATATATTTTTTCTCCAAACAATTATGTGTCTAATTGACCCTTTTTAAACCACCTTTTTTTTTTTATTATTATTGAGCAACTTTTAAAGTACATTGCCAATACTGATTTTGAACAATTCACTGACCAATACATGTTGCTTTTTTTTTTATAACTGATACCTTCAACTGTTATGAGATCTAGACAACTTCAATATTTAAATCTTATGTTACTGACATCCATTAATCAGTACTCGTGATACAATAAAAACTGCTGAAACAACTGCTCTTAAATATGAATCTAAGTTTAGAGCTTTGACAGTGGGGGATTTTCAGACAATTGTAGAGGTAGATATAATTGTTGGAAGATCTGTTTCACATCTAAATATTGGCCGTTCACCAATTAAGAAAATTTCAGGAGATTGCACCCCTAGTTGATGTCATTTAAAAAGAGCAAAAATATATTCGTCAAATAAGAAGTGGCCATAATCTCCTTTTATCTGTAGTAGTTAAATAGTTACTTTGTCTTAATAAGAGGTTCTCGGAAAATATAAATATACACTGCAAATTTATCTGCTGACCTTCTATAGTTCAGACATCATGTTTCCTCAGACTGTTTCTCTTTATATCTTTGCGTTAATCCTGGGCCGGGGGACGCACCTTTAGCGTGGAGGTCAGTATACGGAGACGGTGCAGACGTTCATTGAGCTGAGGATCTGCAGCCCGTCGGAGGAAGGACTGCCTGAATTCTGTTTGGCCTTTGGCCTCTGATCCCCGCCCTAAAGGACAGACTCCGCCCTGCTCGCACGCACGAAACAGGTCACCCAGGGATGCTCCCTCACTGCCACCTTTAATACAGAAAACAGACGTGTGAATGTTAAGTCTGAGGACGACAGCAACAGGTCTTATTCTACACAGTGTGATATTTCCTTCTACCCACAGATAAATGATTAATGATGACAAAAGGCTCATCTCTCCTCTGACAGCCTCAGGGACCTTCCCTCCTCTGAGGCAGTTTTATTTCCTCCTCCACATCCACATTAATTTTTCATTTTGTGTTTCACATATATATCTCCTGATTACAAAAATCTGCCTTATTTACTATTTTAGTCTGACGCTCTCCTTCTGCCGCCGGCCTTATCTTGGCAGCCAGAGCACCGCCAGTCTCATTAGCCTCATTAGAACAGAGCGTGAGTACAGCATGTGTTAATAGGTACTGATGGTGACTTAAATGGATACGTGTCAGATTAAAAGCATTTCTGAATCTGGTACCTCTATGTGCTTTTTTGGTTGTTAGTCAAGAAAAAAATATTCTTCCTCCTTCTCTCTGCTGTTGGGTTGCCTCTTACAAAGACACGACTCTTATGATGTGTTTGTTGTTGTGAAATCAGTCTGAGAAAAACAGAATCAAGACTCTTGATTCAAATCCTTAAAAAAAGTGAGTGCCGGCAAATGAAAGCTGCTATTCAATAGATGATGGTAATGAAGAAAAGAACTGTCAAAGTGTCATATTGCTGCTGTCTACATTTTAGATGTGGTTTTAATAAGGAAACACAAAACGATGATATGACTTTAATTGGATGTGCTGTCAGGCTGTGGATTAAGGAGGGGTAATGTTATCAGTGCTGCTAGTTTAAAAAAAACAAAACAGATTGATAGTAGAGTTGCATCATGGATGAAGGAAAAAGACAGGCCTGGTAAAGACCCTTTTTCAGGTTATAGAATTATCTGAGTAAAACCTGAATGTTTGAAGATATTATTCTTATTCACTTATAAAGCAACCAAAAAGCTGAGCACACCCCACAATTCAATGGTTCTCAAGGAATCAGTGTAGTTTAAGACAGATAACCTCCCATCCAAGCCTTAAATACTTTGGTTGATGCAATGTGGCCAAATCTTCAACAGTTGGGTGATATGTTTACTTAAGACCGTCCTATGTGCTCGTTCCCATTTTCACTTACCGGTGGTGAGTCTGACATAGTGGAAAAATTGCAAATGTTGTTTTGGAAAGTAAGCTTGTATGAGCGATGCAAACAACAACTTTTAAACAGATCATGCACAAGGAGACATGGGCTTGTGCATGCTCTCGTATGCGTTCAATAGGCGTTCCCTTTCAGAAGCCGGCACAGGGTTGTGCATGTGTATTTATTTTTTTTTTAAGTGGAGAGGGCAGGTCTTTAAAAAAAAAAAGAAAATTTGAAATCCTCCACTATACCATTAAGTTGTGTTGTTCTGTTAAACCACAGGACCTCTGATACAATTTCATTTTGGAAAGATGTAACCAAAGTAGACCTGTCTGGTAAAATCAGTACAAACACCTTGTATCAGCTTGCTAGCACAGATGTGAAGGACTCAATGCAGCTGGATTCACCCTGGACCTTGGATTATCATCATCATAGGTACTTATCATACCTAGTATAGGTACCCTGTATACTAAGTCGAAGGGATTTTAATTTGGGGATGGTTCAGATTTGTATTTAAATTGTACTTTTTACAAGTGGACTCGCATGAATAACTACATTTTTTAAAGTTAATAGAAGTTCACTTCAGTATATATATATATATATTTTACCTACTGCTTTTATTGCAGCTGCAAAACCATTATGAGTATCAAGAGCAGCTCTTTTAATGTAGATTTTTAAAACTTTTTATTTTTCATTTTGGGAGGGTGTCGGACATTGAGCCCTTCAAGCCAAGGAAGAGCTCTATCTTGCTGGCAGCTGCGATGTTAAGCAACAGCGAGGGGAACAGGCACATTCACTACTACCTTGGCCTGGTAAGGCTGAAAGAGAGGTATGCATTCTATATTTGGGACAACGGAACTAAACGTAGCTAAAAATCTACAAAAAAAGTACAGGAAAAAAAATTAATCAAGGTGTTGCAGTGAGGCAGTTGTAACCTGGTCTAAAACGTCTTAAAAATGCTTCGGTTGGATCTCAAAATCACTGCTGCAAACAAATCTGAAGCATCATACAGAACAATATGCCAGATTTTCTTCAAAACAATGTTAAAGACTATTCAAGTCAGACAGCTTTTCTGAGCTATTCTTGCTACAAGTGGAAATACTTGGGTTATATGTTGGTCTCATCTTTGTTAAAACTTTGTGACATTTTCTGGATTTCTGTTTTGATAAAGTCTCATTATTTTGCAATCCTGTTCACATTTTTTGACTTTGCCTTCATATTGAAATTCTTAAGAAGCAGCATTTTACAAATGAATATGTTTTTTTAAAGAGCATTCCAACATTAATTACATTATATAATTCTACTTCCTACAAACTATCATTGCAACATAAAAACAGAACAGCAGACGTTAAAAACCTTGTAATTGGGAAAGGATTACAAGGAGAAGCAGCAGAAAGAGAAAGCCTGGATTCAGAGAGGAGGTGCAGGAGTGCTGCCAAAATACTGAAAACAACCAACCTGCCAAGAAGCTCCTATGATTTAAAACACTCATCTTTTACACAAGGTTAATTAGCACTTTGGGTAACATAAAAATCAATGAGTGGGTTCTTATGAGCTATGTGGTTTAGGTTTTTAATAACATTTCTATGTTTTTCCAGCTTTTTCTATTCTGTTCCTCCTTTAGTTTTACCATTTACTGTCTTATACTCACAATAAAAAACTGTTTTCTGAAAAAAAAAGTTATGAGACTTAGGGACAGCAACAGTGTGGTGTGTAACTTCGAATGAATTAACAGTATTAACAAAGATTTAAGGCTTTAATTATTGTAAACAGTATAAATGGAGCACTATGGAATAACCCCTTGATAAAATGAGTTTATACAAGCTATGCCACACGTTTCCAGCCTGCTTTATGAAGCCCCCTGGTCAATTCCACAGGAACAGATTTGTCTCAAGCTAATCTACTAAGCTCTCATAGTTTCAGCATCAGAAATTTCATTTCAAATGCCATTAAAAATGAACAAGAAAAAGAGATCAGCTATTATGGATTAGCATATTAACAAGCTTAAAAAAGGCTGTTCATGATGAAAGACCCTCCTATACGGCTTAATGGATGCAATCCTGCAAAAAAAATTGACCAAAGCTTTTTTTTTCAAAAAAGCAACTGATCTCCAAATGCAATGTTCATCACGCCTAAACTATGAACATCTCATGGAATGCAAGTTAGAGGAGTCGTTGTTTAAAGATTTTTTTCTTTATTTACTATTTCAGTTTTAGCAAAGCATGCAAATAACAGCGACAGTAAATGACAGAAGTCAATTCTTGTCAAATTCACTGAGCATCACCTGATAAACCAAAAAAGGAAAAATACACACATAAAAGAACAAAACTAAAATAAAATAACAATAAAAATGAATGGAGTACGGGGTTACATTTTACAAAAGTCCATTGGGTGTCAAATGAAGATGAGAAAACTTGGGACTGTTGTCAAAATATTCAAACAGCTCGACAAACATTTTATATTTTCCGATATGACCACATTGCAATAAGGTGAAACATTAACCTTGACCATTTTCCAGTAATTTATAATTTGCGAATATTTCATTTATCGAGGCATTGGCCATGCATGCTTATATTACTTCCCTTATTTAAGAAAAGTCACATTCCCTGTCAGCATTGTTTTCTTTTTTTATTCTTTCTGGTGCATGTTGCATTGCTGTTAGAGCTGTGGAGGTACCAGATCTGCTTGGGCCCTGTGCATGCCAGTGACGTTATGCGATATAATTGGCAGAACAGTGTCACATAACATAAAACATTGTGGTTGCCAAGACAACGATAATAATGCAGCATCTGTGTGCCGAGTCGGGAGTATCTGGAGGGTTAGAGTGTCTAATGAAAGATGAAGTTTCACTCGACTGATAAGCTGAAAAAAGAAGTAACCGTAAGACCATGATATAAAGAGCTGGGTAGCGCTGTGGCTAGCTGTGCTCAGTAGCTAACACGTTAGACTATTTAAGCTCGGTCAGTTAGCCATATTAAGCTACACTACTTTTAACTTTGTGTCAACAACAACCGTTCATTTTCTATATGTAGAATAACTGTTTTCTTTGTCTAAAATCTCTATGAAAGTCATTTTTAAGATGTTCCATTGTCCCCAACTCTCCTCAGATCTTAATAAAAAGAATAAGAAGAAGCACTGAGACTTTTTGTCTCTCCTTGATAAATGGCAGAGCTCAGTCTGTATTAGAAGACAGTGATTTTCTTCATGACTGAGAATGATTGTTTTTTGCTTTCGGCTACTTTAGATCGCCAATGAAATGTAAAATATTAGCAAATATAGGTGATCATATGTTGAGACTTCAGAAGAGATCTGATTCTTAGGGAATGGGGTCGCCAAATAATTATGTTATAAGAAGGAGCAGGACCCAGAGCAGATCAGGAAACAGCAGATGGCCGCTCACACTGAGCCTGGTTCTGCTGGAGGTTTCTTCCTGTTAAAAGGGAGTTTTTCCTCTCCACTGTCGCTACAAGCATGCTTAGTGTGAGGGATTGCATTTGAGTCAATGAATCAACTGCAATCAAATGGTTTTCCTTAGATAGAAAACTTTGAATCAATTTAACTGTATGATCTGGTGAAATGTAAAGTGCCTTAAGATGACATGTGTTGTGAATTGGCGCTATATAAATAAACTGAATTGAAACACAATTACAGAGGCTTAGGTCCTTCACAAACAATGAATTATTTTCTCTCTACCTTTCTCTAATAATATTCTCCACATAAAAGAAATGCCACTAACACTATGGGAAAAAAAGAAAAATAGGAATTATACTTTTGTTCTTTTTTAAGTGATGCTGACCAGGGCTTGGCTACAGCCACTGGATCCTTTTAGCTTTACGGCTGATACCTTATTATTTAAAATTATATCCCATATATCAATGTCTCAGCCTTTGTTATGTGTTTGAAGCCACATTTTTGCACCATACTGAACTTACAATTATGTGTTTGCTGCTCTTCCTTCATAGGCGGTGCCAGCAGTGTGTGCAGGTTGCTGTCTCGCGGCAGCGTGAAGCTGCGGGGTTTTCCTCCCTGGGTTGCCATGGGGATCAGCCTCTGCATCGCCACTGGCAAAGGGACGTTCCTCTGAGGAGGAAGAGTGTAAACCGCTCCAGCCATCATTGAACTGCCTCCGAGGCCAGGCTCTGCAAAGACGGCATCCTCTGCATTGGGGAATTAGGAGAAAAATCAACAAGATCAATTAATCAATACAGAAAGCCCCAATTCTTCAAAAAAGCAACAAAAACTGTTTTTTGCAGTAAATATCCACTGTGTTACTGACAATATCTTGTATATAGCTAAAACTCTTCTAACACTTGAAAACTAAGACAATCAAATGTAAATAAAAAAAAAAATGAATTCTCTCAAACCGACGAAAAGATAAACAACAGTAATGGAAATTGAGCTCCACTACAGAAAGCTGGTTGTTTACTTAGGAAAATATGTATCAGTGTTTTACTCCAACCTGTTCAAACTGGCCTCTGTGAACTTTCAAAAATACCTACGCCTACTCGATTAAATTTATTCTATTAGGGCAGAAGTTTGTTTTTACCTGTCTGATTATTCATTTTACACTTTTCCAAATAGTCAGATAAAAGACAAACTGGTCAATACCTCCCATAGTAAATAAAACTACATGTAACAGAAGCTGTTAAGAAATTATGTTAACATACATTTCAGGAGTGTAATTGAAACTAGCACTTAATGCTGAAAAATAATTATAAACTATTTACTTTATTCACAATCCACAAAAAAGAGTGTAATATTCTTCTCTGCAAGACTTTCCTTGTCATTATTATGTCATTAAAATCCAGTAATGTTGTTTGTAATAACTCCCTTTGTGAACAAAGGAAGCATAAAAAATGATACAATGGGAGACATAAAGCATCAAATTGTATTGAGAGAACCTTGGAACATTTGCAATAATAGGATTTTTTTTTTTTTTGTACCATTGTGTTTTCAGAGATTTACCTTTAAGTTGTAATGTTTAACTTTTATAGAGTTAATAGTTAAGGATGAGCTGCATGCTGTTGATGGTCGGTAGCATTGTTGCCGTGCAGCATTAACGTCCTGGCTGTGAATCCACTTCTGGGTTCTTTCTGCATGGAGTTTGCATGTTCTTCCTGCACATGCATTGATACTTTGTTTTCCTTCCACTGTCCAAAATCATCAGAGTACTCTAAAATGTGTCTTANAATCATCAGAGTACTCTAAAATGTGTCTTAAGTCTTATCTTGTACCTGCTTAGTTATTTGCCCTGTGTGTTGCCCTGCGATGGACTGATGATTACCCAAGGTATCCTTACCCAGTGACTCATACTGTATAAGCCATCGTAACGATAAAAGGGCATGGGCAAAGCATGGACAGCACAAGCTGATGGAGTATTTAAATTAGAATTAGCATGACAGATCAGTATTGGAGGAAAGTTTTAAGAAATGTGTTGCAATTGGGCAAATTGTTCTTACATTAACATGTCCGTTAGTAATGGAGATGCTGCTTCCATCCATGTTTATACGCATGATAGGAGCATCCAGGAAGACGCTGACATCAGAATGAGTGGATCAGTCACATGAGATAAAGGTTTGCTTCGGAGCTGATCAGAGCTGTTTCAAAGGAAAGGGTTTCCATCTCCGGTTTTGCGAATTAACTCTTTTTTTGCCAAAAATAGCATAAAAACTTAATACGGGTCTGGAAAAGCTGATGGAAACCGATCAAAAATATTCAGCTGCAATACCTTTAATGACTTTGGAGTTATAGTCTCTAGAATTTGACCGCACTGTTTATGGTTTGGATTAAATCTGCTATGTTGCAGCTAAACCTGGCTACATGGTTGTCTTGAATCAAAATGACTTTTATTGATTTAAATACTGACTTTAAATTATCTATTTTAATGGACATTAATTGTACCTGAGATGACACTAGTTAGTTAGTATCTAATTTTAAGTCTCAAAGCAACATTGTGTAACTTTAAGCCTCTAGGAGCACTAGACCTGTATCCTCCATGTTTAACGCCCCTGAAAGCAATATAGCAACACTGTGCTGTTGCAAAATGAAAGATCCTCCCTCAGTGTTTTGGAATCTGATAGCAGAGAATGTTCAACAGCAGACTGAGAAGTCATGGAGTTTCCTCTAAAAACAATGCTTTATTTACTCCTCAAGATTAAAATCTACATCAGAGATAAGAGGAAAAAATCTAAAAGCTGTCTGTTAGTAGCTAACTGACGTTTTGTAATTCTGTTTAACAAAATAAAATTCCTCATTCAGCTGCGAACAGCTCTGAGCCCAGCCGTTGTGTCACGTGACCATATGAGCTAATTTCATTGGCTAGAAGCTGCTCGACTCTATCGAGAGTAGATTGCTTTGGCTTGTGTTCACCAAAAGGTCAACATATTTGCAGCTGAATTTTTGCAGCTGAATTTTTTTCTGGTGAATTTTTACCAGATAAAAATTGAGTGTAAGGAATTCAATGTCTAAAAAAAAATCAGTGTTTAAAATTCTGAGTTAAAAAATTCAGTGTTTAAAATTGGGTGTTAAAAAAAGGCAGATTCCAATGAGACTGTTTTTCTTCCATATTTTTTCTTGTTTTTTTTTTTAATTTAAGTTAGTTTAAAATTGTTCATGATTGGTGTATATAATAAAATATTCTGTTTGATTTTTGTGTGTAATATTTCTAAGAAAAAAAACAATCTGTTAAGGTACACAGTTTTTTTTGTAATTTTCGGTAAATAAGTGCAAGCGGACATTGAAAGTGTTTGTGCAAATTGGGCAATGATGAGCAAAAGGATTGATATGCCCCAAGTGCTCAATATTTACCTGAAAAATTCTTAAAAAGAACTCAAATTAAGTTAATACTGGGGTCAATGTAATTAAAGTGCTAATAATGTTACCAAGTGGTCCAGTTTGCAGGTAATGCAATCCGGCTTCAGTCAGCGGAGTCTCAATCAGATCCTGCCATGACCGTCTCTGCGAGGATGAAGAACGACCTGGGGAGCCAGTCTCACTGCTGCCCCCTGCCGGACTGGAGCGGTACTATATGGAGCAGTAAGATATTTTTTAGATAAATTTGGATAACCAGTGAGCTTCCTGTTATCTTCCAAAACAAAGAAAAAAAGCTGTGCCATTGGAGGAATAGGACCCTTGAAAAGAAACAACATTCAGTTTTATGACATTTGACATGACATCACTGAACTGGGGCACATCCATTAAACCATCATAAAGAAGGACATTGAAAGACTACATTTTATGTTATATTTTCTATATAAAAAAATGTAAATAGTGTTTAAGGATTTTTTTTTTGTGTGGAAGAAGCTACATTTATCATTAATATTTGTTACAGTCACCTCCACAGGATCACATCTGTATGGCACATCGCTGCTGCTGCTGCCCAGCGGCTTCCTCCCGCTGTGTGTGGTGCCTCCCCCCAGAGGGCCTGGATGGTACTGTGGCTCTGCAGCGGTCACAGGGGGCTCACTACACAAAAAGTCCTCCTGAGAAGATCGAGAGCGTGACGTCTCTGTGGAAGACAGGCGAGTGGTCCGGCCTTCCAAATAAGCGCTCATCTGAAACACAGTGTGACGATGTCAGCCTGGGTACCGTATAATTCAACCGCTAAAGTAGGGGTTTTATCTGGTCACAAAGCAACTAGGCAAAGATGAATGTTATTAACTGCATATTTAAAACACAGAAAAGTCTTAGCTTAGGACAAAAGAACCTCTTCAAAGACTTATGATCTACAACAACCACATTGAGGTTCCACTATGGCAACGGTTAAAGCTAAATATAACATCAGCATTCAATAAAGGCTTAATAAAAGATAATTCAGGCTCCTGAAATGAGCAGGGGGAGAGAACTTAGATAAAGATTAGAGCTCTGACGTATGGGTTGACTCACTGATGGAGGCCGTGGGTAGGTATCATATGGAGGTGGGGGGCTGTCCTGTTTGGGGCTGGAAGTGGTGTCCTCCTCATGATCGCTCTCACTCCAGTAATCTAAGCAGACATTATCATCACTCAGTAAATCAGTATCTACCACAGGATTTATATCCCCGGTTTAATCATCCTTTAACCAAAGAGCCTGTCTACTGGACTAAATCATTGGGTGAAAATGGAGAAGTTAATAGAATTTATACTGTTGGTTAACAGGATATTGGTGTACTCTTTATCTGATAATGACAGCATTTAAGAATGTAATCCAGAGTACAGTAATAGTTTAGAAATGTTCCAGTTGACTGACTGACTGACTGACTGACTGACTGACTGACTGACTGACTGACTTCCTTCCTTCACAAAGAAAAGGGTCTAAATGGTGTCTGATTGGTGGTGGAATTAGTTGAGAGTAAATACTGGAGAAGAGAGCTCAGGTTTGCCTTAGGAGGGAACCTATTTTTGCGAAAACGGTACAATGCTAAAAATGACTTTAATATTCTTCACTTTCTGACCCTAGATGACATTGAACCTCTAAAAAAACAAACCCCTGTGCAGTTGCAGTGGAAGAGAGTTGTGCTTTTTTTCTCCTCCATGTGTACACAACACTACTCATTACTATATGTCATCAGAGGGAGCAAACTTCTGGCAAATCTCTGGGACTATAACTGAGCTCCTATAAATGTACTCCTTATCTCATAGATGGGGCTAACAGAACTTAATATCAATTGTTAGGATAATTATGTTTGAAGATGTGTGAGTTTATCACAGGTTGGTATTGGCTGCCTGTTGCGTGACAGAACTAATGATTTCCAGAATAGTTAATCTAATTAAGACAGTCCCTCTGTCTGGATATACAGTTATAATCTTCATTCTGTACATGGCAAAGATTTGGAAATGGAATGAGAACGGTGTCCTTCAGCTAAGAACAAAGTGTAATATTTTGATAGGCTGGAACCATGGATGTTCACTCATCTGCTAACATGTATGATGTGATGATGTTGCAGACTGTAGATGTATAAAATCCCTTTTTAACTGTTAATCTGGGCCACTTCCTGAGAGGTGAGCCCAGAGGTGAGCAGCTGTCATTCTGGTTCTTGGTACAGAGTTATTTCCACTCAAAAGCCTTTTAAGAAAGAATCAGGAACTGATGGATCAGAATTTTCAGCAGTTTGATGAAACTGTTAGGTTAAATCCAATTAACTATGTCAATTAAGGGAAGAGGAAACTTGTGAGGTGAGAAAAATTGTCATCTATGATTCGAGGCTTGAAAATAAATGAGAGGCATCCTTGTATTTTTTCCATAGGGCAATAATTCTCTATTCTAAAGTATTAAATTAGGAGCAATAGTAAGAACAGTTCTGCTGGAACATAATCTCACCCTGCTCCTGGCGCATCCTCTCCCGCTCTGCGTAGCCCACAGCTGCCATGTTGAGGCGACTCAGCCATCTACCAAGCAGAAGGAGAAACTTAACTGCAGTGATTACAACACAGGCTTCAGTGATACAGCAAACACTACAAAAATTGAAGCAAAAATTAACTATTATGCTCTTATATTTATTGGTATTTTGCCACCCAGCTGGGACACCATCCAGCTGCCCAACCTTCCTCCACGTCTAGCACCTGCTGCCTTTACCTGTTCATGTCGTCCACTCCATCTGCTGCAAAGTAGAAACTCTTGACCTTGGGGTGGCACGCTTTGAAAGCACTAGAGAGGCAGAGAGAGCTATTTTTGCCCACACACCTTCACGCATTCAAAAGCACACAAGCTGGACATAAGGGAAAATAACATAAATATGCAATAAGGCAGACACTTACTACTTCTTTCGACATTCACTTGCACGGTCAATCTTAAACTCTGGAAGACTGACAAAACCCTCTGCCTTTTCATCCTAAACAGAGAAGAAAAATTCAGATAAGGATATTAATACAGGCAAAAGGTAATTATTTATAGGTAATAACAGTTTATTTTACTGAAGCTATTATGGCGCTACGAGTCATGCACATTTTCACAACCTCCCAGTGTTAAAAAAGTGATTAATGGTTACATGATGAGCTGGTGCCTGCATAATAAACCAAAGTTGACCAGCGTTAACGTTTAATCTGGCGTGTGAGGCTAAAAAGAGATGAAAAAAGTGTGCATCATTAACAAGTTTGACATAAAATGTTTGGGTTACATTGTGCTCAAACATTTACAAAATGCCACAAAGGATTAAGGGGGCTTTCAAAACTTGTTTGCCAAAGTTTTAGTCAAAAATGCAAGGTCCAGTCTTCTCTGCATGCTTGTATCTAGGAAAAAGTAATCATCTTGACCTCGACTAAAACTTAGAATTGTACAAATCTAATGCCGCAGTATAATAATCAACAAATGCATGTTCAACTTTCATTTGGAGGAATATATTTAATAAAATCTGACTTTGAAAAAAGTTCAGCAAATGTTTTTATTCAGTTATTCAGTGCAATAAAGATTGCTAAAGATGCATAAATACATTTCTAACAGCACTGCTATCTAACCTGCACACAGCAGAAGATGCTGCTCTCAGTGTAGCTCAATGCTGTGCTTTATTTTATATTTTTCTCCTTTTGTTAAATTCAAGTACATGATCAATCAGAAACATAAACAGAGGTCTTCTCATATAAGGTGGCTGCAGCTCTATGATGTAAAGAGTTAAAGGAGATCTCACAGCCTCTGGATATTACTGCTACATTTCAAGCATCCAGTGCTGACGGTGAAAGAAGATTTGGTTTAATGAATCATATAAAAGGAGCATCGAGAGATCGTTTTAAGGCGTCATATTTGGACAACCATTGGAGAAGTGAGGAAAAAAGATCAAATTAAAGTCAGATTTGTTCATATTCTAGTGACTTTTTTATTTATGGATATTAATCATGTAGTGCTTTTACGGTTATATAATTTATGTTAGAAGAAACACAAAAAGTGTAAATAAAAAAATAAAAAATTTACAGGCTGCTATGGTGTGGAGGTACAGTAGAGCGCATGAGCTATATACTGACTGTAACAGGTTCAATTCCCAGTCCTGCTGACCTTTGCCAAATGTCTCTCCCCTCTCTTGTAACCCACTTTCTTGTCTACATACATTCAAAAATAACTAAATAAAGGCCATTAGAGCCTAAAAAAATCTACAGACAAAGAGTTAAAGGAATTTATAGTGTATCACAGCACATTTTTTTGCAAAATCATAATGTTTTAATGGGTCTGAAAGGTTTAACGTCTCATTTCTTCCAGAGCAGGACCCCATCCTGGCCAAGCAGGACTCTTAGCATACTACACATCACATAAACAACTCACTTACATTAAAAATAAACTAATTGAAATTGCTGTTGTACACTCTTGTTGTTTTTCCATTTGCTAAAATAGCTGGTTTACAACAAGTTTACACACTAATTTTAAACTTGCTATAAACTCACCCTCAGCTTGCACATCTGATGTTGCTCACTGTGTCCCTTAATGCACTCAGGAGGCTTGTACGTATGACCAAACATGAAAAATTAGAGGGAACATTGATCCTCACCTCCTCATTGATGTACCAGTACAAGCAGTTGTCCTTCAGCACAAACCAGTACTTCTTCCATTTCTGGGAGAAGTAACCCTTGGCATCCCTCTTTCTCCACAGCCAGCCCTCACAGTCTCCTCTGCCCAGCGCCTTGCAGGAAACTCGCCTCCGACTCAGCGAGGCCAGACCCCGTCCTGCAATGAGACAAAGGAAGCATAAGGGAGTGGTGTTTATGAACAGGGGAAATGCTTAGAGTGACGGCAAGAAAGAAAGAGTTCTGAAGCCAAAGCTTTGCAGGACATTTTCCTGAAGCTGACAGTTTCAGGACATACCGGTACATTTCTTCTCTGTTAAGTTTTGCAAATTCCAAATGAAAAATAAATCCCTTTTCAAGCCATGTGGTCCAAGGGGACATTTTACTTACCAAAACCTGGGATGATTGACTTACTGATTTAAGAACTCAATGAAAAAGATAGTCAACATGGAGTCAGCTGAAATATCTTACAAAGAAATACTTGATGTTTGAAACTAAGAAAATTTTCAACACCAGACAAGAAATAAACCCATTAACTCTCACTCTGTCAAGGGTAACTGTATTTCTAAGACTTTAAATACTAAACTTACTATTGACATCTCATCAGGGGTCAATAAAAGAACAGCTAGCATCTCTGCAGACTCCACACCCAATAGTCACAAAGAGCTTAGACCTTGGTCTTTAGGCCGGCATCACAGAGCATCGTTATATAAAAATTAATTGTGTTTTCAGGTTTTCTCTCTTATGAAAACCTAACAGAAATAAGAGTCATCTACTCTGCTGGAACACAAACAAAACACTAAAAAGATGAGTACATGCTGTTGCTTATTTTTCTCTATATTCCCTATTTTTTTATTTTTTTTTTACTAATGTTGATGTGATACGAAACATATGAACAAATTAAAGTCCTTGTTTGTGCTTCAAACTTAGTTTAAAAAGTTATGATTCAAATTTCTGCAGACCTAACCTGCCTCAGTTAGGATAAATGTTCACTATTCCAAAAAATAGAAAGAAAAAAATAGCAAAAACACACATGGCAGAAAGCCACTAATGACCAATGATAATAGGGCAGTCTGAATTTGCCAAAATTATTCTTGAGACAAACAAATGAGCAGAAAACCTAATGTGGACCAAGAAGACGAAGGTCAATTCTTTTAAAGCTGTATGCATCCTATTACATCAACTAACACAGAAGTATAGAAATTAACTTCATACCAAAATTCCAACATGGAAGTGCTAATATAATTGTTCCACTTGCTTTATTTCTTCCAGATCTGGAAACTTCCAGTAATCCAGGAAACTATTAGGCCTTATGTTTATCAGGAAATCATTAGTTTATGATGCAGCAATGATCATGCTTCTAATTTTAGAGTGGCCTAAATTTGACACGACCATAAACAGGTAGTGCATGCCTATATACCCCACAGTGTGGCTTAATTAAAACAAATCTGCCAGGAAGAGTGAGTCAAAATTTCCACAGAGTCATGTAAAGAAAAAACTCATTAACAATTTTCATTAATGCTTGACAGCAGTCATTGCCACCAGGTTTCAGACAACTGAACAGCTTTAAGATCCAAAATGTGTTCACATGGTGACAGTTTAGTTTGGATACATATTTTCTCTTTCTTAAACACAATATTTTTAAATTTGCTCAGATTTTCATTAAAATTAGAATATATTTGAGGCTCTAAAACATCAATGTTAAATAAAAACGCTTTTATCATACCTTCACTGCATAGGGGCTGTTTTTCCTAAAACCAGCCCTAAAAAATGCCCAGGGACAGAGCTAGAGAAGGGCACCCTTAAAGCCATAGAGAGGTCAAAGCATCTGATGATTACAACATGGTTTATGGTGGCTGTTTCTGTCCATTTGCAAGGCATAATGCAATATTCCAACCATGTAAGATGCTCTGGAGTGTTGCCAAGCCCTTTAGCTAGTCCCCGGAGTAACGGCCTACAAGTGGCGCCTCACCAAACAAGAAGAGCAGAATGGTAGAGTATGAAAGTACGTCTATTTTTTCATAAATAAAATCACAATGAAACACATTTTTTTTTATTAACTTTAGGGGTTTATCTTTGTACTTTAATATGCATTGGGGTGATCTTCTTTTCATTTTTGCTACACTGATTGAATACAGACAGATGACTTCAACTGTTGACCTTAGCAGTTTAACTGCACCTAAAACACAAATTTAACCAAAAGACGAAGAGTGTAAATAAGGAAGCAGGAATGCCACAGATGATTTGAAGAATACAGTAAAAAGTAGAAAGTAATTACCCAATGTCCTGATCTGAGCAACGTGCTAAGTTTAAGGAATCAAATAAATAAACTGAAAGTGAAAAAGGCAACAGGTACAGAAACTTAAGGGGAAACTGAAGACTACAAATACTCACAACTAGGGGTGTAAATCACACACATCATGGCGGTTCAATTCAGTATCAATTTCCCGATTAAACGATTTGATCATTTTCGATACTCAAGAATACACCACGATACGATTCGATTTGATTAATTTGATTGTTTTTTTTTTCATCTTACAGGCTAGACAATGTTTCGAATTTGAAATAAATCAATGAAAGCTGTAATTATTGTTATGCATTTTATTTGAGAAACAACAGCAAACAGAAGTAGCAAAGTTGTACTCCACCGAGGCCTGTCACGATAATCAATAAATAAATTAATTGCACGATAAATAAAAACCACATGCATTATTACGTCATTTAAATTAAATCAGAGTAAAAAGGTCTTCAAACAATATTATCGTTTATCGCAATAAGTTTTGAGACAATTAATCGTTCAGCAAAATTTGTTATCGTGACAGGCCTAACTCCACCTAGGCCTATGAAAACCTCATTCACTGAAAAATAATAATGCCTCTGTTTTATAGAGTCTGAAAGGCCTTGCAACAAAAAATACTGCAATAAGTGCACTAGCAGATTAAGTAACAAAAATAGGCCTATACTACACAGCAGCACAGGAGTCAGAATTATGTCCAGGAGCAAATGGATAAAAATAGAACAGAGGAAAAAAACATGAATCGATACTCTTGCGGACGTGTCGATGCATCGGATCGTTGGCTGTTGGATCGATGCCAAACGATTATTATTAACACCCCTACTTACAACAGACTGACAGTTTAAACAGTTGACAAACCAGATTAAAGAAACAAAAGAAATGAGGAAACATGTTGCATGAAATCAACTAAATAACAAAAGAATCTGGATGAGGAGGACATAATGATTAAAGAAACAAAAGAACCAATACAAAAATATTAACTAGTAAAAGTAAAGGCAAAAACATCTAAGAACATAAAGAAATAGACAAGAGAAATTAACTACAAAACACCTGGCACAAAAAAACAGAACAAAAAAAACAACTCCAAATGGCCAAAATAACAAAACAAGGAAAAACATAATGAATCAAAACCGTAACATAACCCGTGGGAACTGATAGTAAATATGGTAAATGTTACTTAAAACGGCAATGTTGAACAGACAGCTGATCTGGAATCTGATAAGGATAACCTTTAGGACATTTTAGGTCAAACTGCAAAGCCTGAGCCCCACAATGCCAAGTAGAGAGAAAAGCTTGTCAAGTAGGCATTTTCTTTATAACATATTACCACTGACAGCACCCACCCGTCCAACTACCCTTTGGTCTAGTTCTGGCAATAAAAATGCTGAAATGCTAATGTTAAAGAGGCTTCCGCTATGAGCTCTGTCTCTGAATCAAACCATTACACAGAGCGCCGCATCACCATGGTTTGGTAAGAAGTGCTCAATAAAAGCAGAGCCCTTCTTTCTGGCTTTAAAGTGCCGCAGCGGTGTTCACAGAGAGCTTCTCATTAAAAGATAACAGGTGCAAATTTGGCTTCCAGGTGAGACCAACGATGAAGCCTCTGCTGCTCTGCATGAAATGTCTTTTTAAGAAGACTCTGATCCATTATTCCATTTGCCTCTTTGGAAGCCTGTTTCTAAAGGAAACAACTCTCTGCTGAAGTGTTGACATAAAAAAGTAAGCTTTTGCACGCAATGTGAAAAGCTTTTCAGCTTAGAGACAATTAATCATTTATATTCCTGCATGAGAGAGCAATATTTCTGATATTTTTTCTCATTTTGGTGCATCCAGCTCAGACCCCTCACTGTTGCTAGTTTCCTCACTAAAAGGTTTTTTAAAACGTACTCAATTCTACTAATTACTATAATTTCCTTAAATCATTTAAAGCCAGTGTAGTTAGATGTCAGTTTATAATATCAGATTTACTTGGAAACGTTAGTTTTATTGCTGTAAACAAACAAAGCTGAGTGCAGATGGAGCTAAAGCTTTTGGAGCTTCTCACATCAGCAGATGGCAGAACAAGTGATTGGACTGTTGGAAAAAAAAACCCCGGCAAATCCTCCAACATGCTGATCAATGACGGTGTGGAAAGTTTGTCCTAGAGACAAAAACACTTATGCCAGATAGGAACTGAGAAATGATTGGAAAATTTTCAACAAATAGCTCCTTTATTTTGAAAAGGTTAATTAAATTAACAGGAATAATGGAGATAATCTCAGATGTTCAGCTGGATGTTCTCATTATGGAGCCTAGGCGGAAGTTTAACTGAAGGAACTCATTGCTCTCCTACATCCACCTGCGACGCAGCCAATCACTTTTGAACCACACCTCCACGAAAGCCAATCGGCATCCCAAGTTCATCTTAAAAGGCCTCCGATACGCACCTGTCTGCTCCTTTGTGCAGACGGCAGATGCGCTGTGACTTCATTCAGATGACACCATTTCAACCCACCTCCACCATCGTAGCTAAAGCTTCATCAGAGTGTCATTGCTCCTGGACTCTAACTGCGTTCCCTGTCTCATCTCAACCAATCCGAAAGAAGACCTCCATGTTGAGCCTGGTTCTGTCAGAGGTTTCTTCCCAACGGGGAGGTTTTCCGCTCCACTGTTGCTTCATCCTTGCTCATCATGGACAGGTTCTCTCAACCTGTCTTATCCAACTAGACTTCCATCTTCCAGGTCCCTGAGTGAAGCTCTAGTATCAGCTCTCGCAGTCCACTGGATCTCCCCATAAAGCTCAGCAGACCGTCTCACTAACAGCAGTCTACAGACTGACATACTTCATCTATCTCCACTCCACCACCAGTTTCAGGCCTGGGGGGAAACAGCCCGATTCTTTGCTCCTGTTCATGCATATCTATCAAATTAAGTGCTAAGTTTCCTGCCGAGGTCTGAGCGCCAAAGACAAAGTAATTGTAACAATACATTTCTCCTAATTTTCTTTTCTCTTTGAGGGTGACCTGCTGAAACTGGTTGGGACAAAATATTTTTTTACCAACAAGGAAAATGGATTAGAGAGACTACAGTGTTCAGAATGTGATGAGTTGATGAAATACTATTTACTAAGTTTAGTACTAGGACTTTAATAAATTAATAAATGGCTTCATGGTGAATAATTAGCACTGGTGTCAGCCGTACCTGGGAAATAGACACATTTCAGTTTCACTGCAATCTCTCAATAATCATTTTGACTTAATATTCTCTTTTTAGCTCAGAGCCATCAAAACGATCAGTTTTGTTAATCTCCAGTATTATATTGCTGTGATGTATTTATGTGTCTGCTTTACAATCTGCATTGTTGCTTCGCATAATTTGCATATTTCAAAATTCCTTTTTTATTGCTGGTCGTTAATTTACTCATGATGGCATCTTGGCAAAAAACAAAACAAAAAAAACCCATAATTATTTCTATCAGTCTGTCTTTTAAGTTGATTTGCTTGTGTTATTGCATTGTGATTATCTTTTATGAATATATTGTATGCATCTGTACAAGGTTACATAAACCGTTGTCAAAGACATACAGTATATCTGTCATATTAGTTGACAAAAAACAGAACAATTGGGTTTTTGCCTCCATCTGGTTTCCTCTCTATATCTTATCATTAAAAAAAACAATCCTTTTGTTTTTATTACCCCCAAACTACAGAAAGTTTTACACAATCATACCCTAAATATGACTTATCAGTCCATGCCTGACGTACAGTGTGTCTAGTTTTTTATTTTATTTTTTGTGCTTAATATCCTGAGTTAAAACAAAACTCATTCATGTTGGGATTTAATTAAGCTATAATACAGCTT